CTCTGATTGAGAAACCAGTCTGTTTCGGGTGCATCAAGGAATCTGGTAGGGGATTCAGTGTAGAAGGTCTTTGCCTTATTTTGTTTGGTTGGCTTGGTTTAGTTGCGTAAAGAGGATGTTTTGTAAGGGATGGGGTGGGTATTGTTGGTTTTAGTTCAGCTTTGTGACATCTTATCACCTAAGACAGTTTCTTCTTCCTTTCTTTTTGTTTAATGAGATTTTCTTTTACTATAATTAAGTCTTCCTTTTCAAAGAGTAGACTTCTCATAAATTGTCTTTGCAGCTCTATTGTCTGACAATATTTATTTTCACGACATGGAATCATCATGGTTTCTTATTATTTTGCTCAATTTGTTACTCATCTTTCTTTCATTCTCCTATGTACATTGAATGTTTGGCAGGATGATATGAAGAATGATTTAAGACCATGTCATCTGTTTGTCCTTTCAATTTCTTCATAGCTTTCTGGATGTGTCTATTTCTTGATTGATAACTGAATCAAAGATTTTGTTAACAGACCAGAAAAAGGGTAAATCAAATTACATAACAGGCCAAAACTTATTGCAGCAGATGGACCACCATACCATTTCCCTGTTAGTCCCATGTCTGACCAATTCATGATTCATCTTCCGCCAAGTTAACAGGTTTGGGACCCACAAAAAAGAGGAATTCAGCTTGGAGGTTAAGAATAACATATCTTCTCTAATGTGATCTCCAAGGAGCACTCTTCACTCAGCCTTCTTATTACTACTTAGTTTCCTCCCTCCACCAAAGAAAGGCACTTAAAAAATCTAGCAAATTTTAATCCTACTAGTTAAAGAGAGAATCTCTACCCTGCTGAAGTTCCTCTAACTATAGGCCCTGAGTAGACCAAAGCAGTGGTCCTTCAATGATTTTTGAGTTCATCTCCACCCTGGATGAGTCTAGGTTGCACACGAGTTTTCTTCACATTAGCTGCTCTCAAACATCTTCACATCATCCTTCCCCTTCTTGTACAAGGAAGGAAGAAAAAATTGGCATGACGTCATAAATGAGTATCTGTATCTTCTGATAGCAACCAAGAAAAACTAAAGTAGGAAAAGGAATGCTGACAAATGCCTGTGACACTTGGACAGGAGATTAGTAGATGATAATAGACTCACTACTAAGTTGCTGTACACACTGCTCTACATGCAATCTGTGTGACAGGTATACATTGTTTATTTGCAAAGACCCTTATGTTGGAGACAAGTGGAATTTCATGAGTTATGGACTCCTATCACACACTGATTGCAGGTACGGTTGTCTGTGGCAACCATGTGTAGCAGATCCAGACTTAAGCAAGGGTAGAACATATGAGATGAATGAGATCAAGATGGTCTCCTCTGTAGAACATTTGTTGTTTTTTTTCTTATGCACCACCTTTCAACAAAAAACTCTAGTTTTAGGAGGAATTAGTCTTACCAAATTTCTTTTGCCAAAAAGGCCATAGGAAACAGGAGAGATGGCTCTGCAAAAAGAAAGGGTAAGAGAATTCTGCATGTGTCCATTCAATCATGAATTTTTATTAACATGCTTAATGTATTCGCATGGAATTAATAATAACATTGTAATATGTCCCTCCCATGCAGTCAATTGGTTTTGTTGGTCCTGGTATTGCTCTACTGGGTCTTAATACTGCGAAAAATCCGACTATTGCAACTGCTTGGCTTACAATAGCTGTTGGCTTGAAATCTTTCAGCCATTCTGGTTTCCTTGTAAACCTTCAGGTTGGTATTGTTGAAGAATTGATGGTTGAAGTAAGAGGATGTCGTGCTTTTTTTCCCCTTCCCCCCTAATCTTTTGCCTGTCTTTTATGACCATGACCAGGAGATTGCTCCACAGTATGCGGGTGTTCTACATGGTATTATCGAACTTCTTTTTCTATTTTTTCATTATTTATTTTGTTGATATATTTCAATCCTTTTTGGTTCTTTAATCTATAGGGTTTGGTTCTATGTACCCATTGCTTAAGTCACAAACATGTATGCATGTGGCATGAAAAGATTTTTCAGAAAGAGAACCAAAGATCCTTTCAAATTCCTGGTGCATCGGGAATTTTGTTGTCACTTGATGGCTATCATCAAGGGAGATCTTTTAGGCAAAAAAATTAGCCGGATAATATGGTATATCAGTTGTCACTGAAAAAGACCTTGGTTATAAACAGTAATACTAATCACTCATAATCTGTATATTCCCACTGTATAGCCCCTTGATAAACATGGCTGATGTATTTTTTATTTAGAAATGTTATACAACATCAGAAATGTTCAGCCATTGGTAGCCAATCCTTCTGGTTCTTGGATTTCCTCTTTGGGAAATAAGTAATCTTTGTTTGAGATGCTGTTTACGTGGAGAGTCTGGGGACTGATGCTTGAATGGCTGTTATAAACTGGGAAAAACTCCAATAGAAAGTTGGACTTTGGTGGTAGTAATTCTGTGAACTATGTGAATGACCACTTGACTGATTTAGAGGTTCCTCTATCTGATGGGTGATCTAGATTGGTTACAGGATCCATTCATGTGTCAGAAACAGGTTGGAGAGGGGGGTGGGGGAGGGGTAGATCGGAGATGCTTGCAACAAATGACTACATGGTAGACAAGGCATCTGTTAAGGTCATTATTCAATGTTGATCCCAGCTATCTGGTGTAGAGTGTAGACTGGATAATGATCTAGCAAGTGATTAGCTGTTTCAATTTCTCTTTTGGCATAGAATGCATGTATTGTTGGTCATACTATGTTAAGTTCTCTAGAAATCAGTTGATCCATGGACAAGTGGAGGAAAAATCCAAACTGATTAAAAAAAGCAGAGGAAAACTCCAAATCTGATCAATAACCAAAATAAGAATAGGTAGTCATGCAAAGAGAAATACATGGTCATGTCATATGCAACTTACACAGGCAGAAAAAATAATCTATATGTGAAGAGAGAAAACAAATACAATGCTGGTCAAATCCCTCTTGAACACAGGTACATAACAGGCTTGATCCCTTAAAATTACCCAGAATATTCAAATGAATAAGCAAGTTATGAATACGAAAATTATTGTTGAATTTTGAAATCTATTAGGGAAGAAGTTGACAGTTCATTTAAAATGAAGTCTATTGCAATGATTACTTTCTTGGTATCAGGAATGTCAAATACTGCTGGAACATTGGCTGCTATCATTGGAACAGTTGGAGCTGGTTTCTTTGTTGAGCTATTTGGTTCTTTCCGTGGATTTTTAATGTTCACAGCATTCCTTTATTTCTTCAGTGCTCTCTTTTGGGATATCTTTTCTACTGGAAATCAAGTTAATTTTGATGAAACTGGTAAGTGGTACCTCTACTGACTGCCGAACCCTAGTACTTTGTAGCAAGATAAACTGTACATCTTTCGTGGGGGGTCCCTGGAATTAATTGATGATAGCTGGCTCCTTTGAAGTGGATGCGTCATCCCTGACTCAACTAGGAAAATACTTCTGAAGTTGAATTTTAAGGATAAAAAAGATGATCACGTTGCAAAGCTCTCTTAAATCTTCCCTGTTTGGTGAAGTATAGAAATTTTAAGCAGAATCTGAGTTCTTTATTATCTTATAAAGTTCACATTCACAAATACAAAAACATAAGAAAAAGAGAGAAGGTTAGCAGATTATACTGCATATTGAAATTGAAACAAATACCTTGCATATTGTTATCTATATTAGATATTATCATATGGTAGAAAGGTCACTTGGCTTATTGTCCAAGTCAATCTACCCTATTTATGAAACCAGTTACTGTGCCATAGTGTATAAAATGTCATATTGCTTAAGTCACAATTTCCCGTGTTATCAGTTGTCACTGAACAAGCATCTCGCTTTGCACTTGAGAGGTTTTAACTCTTAACTTTTCTCTCAAGTTTCAAGCGAAGTTTACTAAGACATATTTGCATAACAGTTTCCTGAAGCAGATTCTGTGGATAACCTTTGCACAGTATTAACTGAATGGAACTGTACATACTGGCGACTTCTCAATAAAAGTTTTCTACAAGAAAAGGTCAAAGTACTGAGGAAGATATGGGAATGCTTACGCGATACAATTACCCGACTTGAACAGATGTACTCAGCTGAATCCAAGCAGCAGCACTCGTATGCATTGGAGGATAAAAGAATGCCGTTTGGTTTTCAGGAGTTTATCATGTTGATTACTGTTAGTCCTTTTTCCCTTGTTTTCTTTTTGGACAACTGTTACGGTTGGAGTATGAAACCAATGAGGATTTCATCCATATGTACTGTATATAAAGGGAAGAATTGCAGCTTTTCCTGACATCTCTTCTATTTTTGGCTATATAGTTGACCTACATTCAAATGCGTACCAAATATAGCACAGCTTGAAGAGACAGGTATAAGACAGCAAAGAAAGAGTTGAAGTAACCTTTTATCCAAATCATAGAAGAATAACCACGTTATGTTGCTTTGGATTTCCAACTCCTGGCATGTTGTCTACAGGCCACTTTCTGCCCTATCTTTAAAAATGTATAGCAATCTCTTGGAACTAGATGTTACAGTGTTGGAAAATCATCAACTGGACTGAAGAACCCCTAAGCTAAGATGTGTTTCTCAAGACCATAGCAAGGCCACTGAACCGCTGGTAAGAGAATGGCTTTTCAGGCTTCACAATATGATGCGTTGTTTTATATGTGATACTAGGTAAGCTGCTGCATGTACACATGGTGCATATCATCTTTTTATTTATTTATTTATTTTTTTTTGAGGAAGGTCAAGGTGTATATGGTCATCTGACCATGTCATCCAAATTGTCAGCCTCCTGTCTAAGGTTTTATTAGCAACTGCCAAAACCTAGGTCACACTCGGTAGCACATGAACTGACCTATGAGTTCTGAAATTTTTGCTTTTCAGAGGTTAGCAGGAAAAAAAAATATACTTCAGAGGTCAAGGATGTAAATCCTGTGGGAGTACAAGGTTTAATCTTTATAAGTCTATGACTCTGTGTTAACCTTTGGTTGGCTTTTCTTTGCTGCAGGCAGTGTGTTAATTATTAACAAATCTCAACACTATTATCCGGGTATGAGGTGATCATTAAACTGGGTTAGGTTCTGTTTATAACTCTAATAGTCGTGGCCACCGAATTGTCCACGTCTCAACTATAGAATGTGTTGTTTAGCCCTTGGATCTCAGTATTTGGCCATCTTGGCATCCTCTTCCTGCCTTGTGGCTCAGCCGCTTTGGGTAGGTAGGTGAAGCAGGCGGAACGGAAGATTGGATGTTGGTATTCTTGATGCTGACGTCTTCCTAACCACTCAGCCCTCTTACCCAATTTTTCCCCATCTGAATGTTTCAGTTCTCAGCCTGTGGAGTATAGTATTACCGTATTACGCCTGAATCTTTGGAATTGGAGTATTTCCCGTAGAATTCGAATTTCACTCCTCATAGCACGTTGCAGCCGTGCATTGGTTACATCTCTCCGTGAATAATAAATTACAAGGAGATGTTCCAGATATGCGGTTCCAAATGCTGTGTCGTTCATGGGCACTGAGATAAAAGATTATAATCCAGTAGGCATTGTGGGAGCCTGGGAGGATTGTAAACCTGCTGTTTTCTAGTAATTCTCCTTGAGAATTTATCTTTTTTTTCCCCTTGTAATTAAAAAGTTGATGATACCATTTTATGAGTTATTGTGGAATCGTTGGTGCCTGAGAGAATATCAGCCACGTGGTGCCACGTATGAATATGTTTGTTATTTTTTTTATAAATGACTTAAACCCCTCCTATGGATTTTGACAGCTGTTTTAACTTTCCTTGAAATTTGACCTCTACCTCCCTATTAGGGATTAAATTATACAAACTGATCGTTTTCATTAGTATGACTTTGTGGTATTAAAAAAAGGATAAAATACAAAAACTTCCCTGAAGTTTCTGACAATCATAAACCCTATAGTTTCATCACTTTAGCAAAAACCTCTCTTGGATTTTTAAATAATTTGACAAAAACCTACCTTCTGTCAATGACCCAGAAAAACGGTAAACCGGAGCATCGTTTTTTTGAAATACCCATTTTACCCTTTTGTAAATTAGTTTGTATATATTTTTATTGAAAAACCCTGTCGACCTGTTATCCTATCCCTGAACTCATATTTTTACTGAAATATCCTGTTGACCTGTTGTCCTCTTTTCCTCTCCTCTATCATCTTCTCCTATCCCTAAACTCCACCGTCTGGAGAGGAAGAACCGAGGAACTCAGCTCTTTCAATATATCATTCAAACACAAGACGGAAATCTGTTGAATGATATAAAATGCTTATTTCATAGCATTTTTCTTATAAAAAATCTACAAGCCAGCAGCTGTTTGTGCTAATGGAATGATGTTTTCAACACAGAATTAATTAATGTTCATTGTTCATTGGCATTAGCCCCAGGATGATGTAAGATACTTATGGTGGGGAACAGGGTGGTATTGATCATCTGGCTGAGGTTCCTATAGCCAACCATCCACTATGGTATGGTTGGCCCTCCACCAGTCAAGGAAGCTACCTTGTATCTATATCCTCTATGGTGTGAATGTGGGCGGTCTTCCTTTAGGTTTTGTTGGTTTTATTCAGACAAGAGCAAGTAATTAGTCATTGTTGTAATTTGTTTTTCACTCTGCTTCCTCTACCTTGTATCTATATCCCATTTTTCTTAGTGTATCTATTTTCTAAATCCTCTTGTCCCACAGTTCTTGTTATATTTGAAGTAGAATTGCTAAATTTGCATATATGTTAAGATGTTTCTCTTGGACCATGGCAATTATCATGGCATTCTGCTCTAACAATCTCCTCAGGACAAGCACTATATTCTTCTAATTCCTGTTTTGTGCCCTGTGCAGAGATGCATAGACAACTGGTTTTAGTCCCAGAATTTTCTATACACAGGTTTCCAAACCATTCTTCAGTACAAATGTATCACTATGAGTCATTTGTATTCACTTCTAGGAAGGCAATTATAAGGATTAAATGTTTTCCCCTTCATCATTAATTAAGATAAGAATAAAGAGATGGCCAGACAAGCACCTGCACACTTCCTCTCTTTGGCAAAGATATTTTGCATAGTATAATAGATCTCATTTGTTATCTTCAAGATACTTTACATATCCATGCCCATCTCTCTGATGTTAGGGTGGATTGCTGAATGAATTAGTATGCTGATTTCTCAATCAGCTATAAATTTGTCACTTAGTTGGCAGTTGATCTGTGAATAATTTATTGGGAATTTTTCAGAAACATAATAAGAGGTGATGGTGCGCAATCTGGCTAGTCCTATCTGTCAACGACCTTGCCTCTTATTGGAGCTACAGGGAGCCTGAAACGGAGAAGATGAGGAAGCTCTGGGGGGAACCTGGTATGAATGCTCTGAAGCTCAAGTTAGAATTCTCTCAAAGACAAGATAAAACCAGATGGCGCAAAGTTCACATACCTTGTTCTTGGGGGGTAGGGAGCCTTTTATAACCACCTCGTGCAATCACTTCTAAGCTTCTGTCAGGT